AGGCTTCTAAAACCCATTTGTATATCACTTGCATGTGTCCCATGCGCAACACATGCCACGCTTTGGTTCTCCATTCTACATATACTTATCTATAGGGAGCCCCAAATAAGTGTTGATTCTAGCTTGGGGGCGAGAGATATAATTGTATATATACATATATAAATATACCCAGAAATACTTTTCTGTAGGGCATGTGTTGATGCGTGGGACCAGAGTTTCACCATTTATGACGCGCAGGTTAACTGATCATACGTGCTCAGTAGGAACATATATACTTCTAGAATCTCAACTCAGCTAGGAAATCATAACGAGAGCCGATTGTCCACCCACGCGTGCCAGATTCTGGCCCCTACTCTCCGAACAGCCCTGTAACTATGCAGATCACCATGCATCCCTTTTAAGGAAGTAGCTTCACAACAATACTTGCATTGCGCCTGAAAACACGTGTCCAAACCTCGCAAACCGAACCAGAACAATACAACCAACCCTCACATTTGACAAGAGATTATGGGGCCTGCCCAAATTGTAGTTATTTAGTTTTATATATGTGTGCATATATATGCACATGCAGCCTATGTACATTCACATTGCTAGCTATGTGACCCACACTGTCCCCAATTTGAACCTTATAATACACACACTTCAAGTAGTACAGCTTCTTGGTTTACAGAAGGTCTGAGGCTCCTACTGCGACTGCTTCAAGTAAGCCGTTCCGGAGAAGCGCTTTTTGCCCCTCTTGTCAAAATGATGCTTCACTGTTTTGACCACCCCTGGCTTCTTCTTCTTGAGACCACTTTGTCCTTTAGTTGAAAGGTAGCCATGATAAAGTTTTTCCACCACAGAGGCATTGCTGTAGCCGACGTGTCTTTTCGGCGTTGGGCCGCCAAAACTCTTCATCCACCAGAAGGATTTATAGACCTGCGGGAACAGATGGGGCCGGGCTGGGCTTGTAATTTATGAGCGTGTGTCTATAGGGACTATATAGACTGATTCCTCTAGGTAACTCGCATCGATCAGTCTTATCACCTGTATTTTTCCAAGAAGCCAGCCGCTAGAGAAATTCAATACTGGTTACATGTACATATGTAGAACGTATGTAATTGACCTGTGAAGAAGACCTCTGCAGCAACAAGCTGTCAAGAATGAGAGACACTCACACAAAAAAATGGCCTGTGGCAGGCTGCGGATCATGTATGCGAATCGAGGATGCCACTCCATGATACTCGACCCTGGTTGCTCTAGCAGCCATGCCAGCCCCATGCCAGATGCCAAAATTACCAACAGAATTGTCCTTAGCTGTACGGGCTGCATGGGGGCTGAAAATAAGCTTAGGGTGGGTATAGATTGCCATGGGTACTGCCCCAACTCTGCAACAGCTGTGTGGGTAAGATTTACATATATACATATATGTATACACATACAAATAATAAAGACTGATGCAGGGTTGGGGCAGTACCCACGCAGGGTATAGGATTGTTGGGATCGCGCGAGTGCAATTGCACATCTTGTAATGTACCAACGCGGCACTATACGGGCCCATCTAGTAGAGTGCCTGATAAGACTCCCCGAGCAAAAGCTATTCTTGTACGGCGATTATAATGGCTAATTTTGTCTGTTGAGGACAGGAAGAATCTACAGGTGCTCAAGGCGGTTTACTGGTCAATAGCTACGTGGATGGGACAAGGGAACTGCGTGATATATCCCCAATTATATAAGTCTAGGTAGAGCCCGATGTCAGTATACGTACATATATATATATATGTATATAATGGAGGAAATCACGCATGGCGTATTCCAAAATATTCCTACTGATTCATCGCAACTGTCCCTCACATGATAGCTGAAGTGTGACATTCTTCTACATGGAGATTCAAGCAGGAAGTCTCAGGAAGTGGATGCTCGAGGTTATAATTGTATAGTCAGCAGCAGAACTCCTACACACCTTGTAGAGAAATTGTACTTCAAGAGCGCAGGTACGGGCACCCTATCTTTTTTTTACGGAAGTCTTTATAGGGTTGATCAGAATCAATTTGTTGGGCATTCCATTTGGGCTAGGCTAACTGAAAGCAACTAAAACTCTATGTATATATGGTCTATATAAACAAAAGTGAAGTTCTGAAAGACAAGCCTGGGCTCCGTGAAACCAACAAGTTTCCTAGTTGTACTGATGGTAAAGAGCAATCTCCCAGCGGGTGGAGAAGGGTCCGTTTGTGGGTCGCGCTATTTACAGCCACAAAACTTGAGCACACAACCCCTATCATAACCAAGGCATCTCCGGGCTTGGCATTCATGATGGAAGCCATCGCGAGCCTGAGAAGCTTGGCAATTCTTCTAATGGCTCCTGAGAATTCTAGAACCACGCAATTCTTCAGGACTCACAGAAAGGTACATGGACTCATCGAACAAAAACTCGCTACCGAACAAGTTGAACATTTTGGTACAACATCAGCCCCCGTGCAACCTAAAAGAAGGACCCAAAGTAACCTCAATCAAGAAACGCCATACCGGCTGGGGACGTGAGATCCATCGCATTTTGTTTCCCAGGCAAGGATGTCCCCAAAGTAATGTCCAGCGGGGCAGAAGGGTGCCCTGCCATAGTCATACATCGGGAAACCCAAGCAGTGCCGCAGAACAGCTCCACACAGTGGTAGGCCTGATCAAGTAGAGGCAGCGCACGGAAGGCTTCCTTTGGCTGACACTATAGCTGGCTGCTTAACTTTTTGCAATGTAAGTGCAACCGCGTGATCCCTGCGGAAGACTGGCGACATGTGAAGTAGCACGCTCATCACAAACTTCATGCATGTTCAATCGCCTAGGATGTTACCCAACATGCGTGATTCTCTGAAGCCGTGGATACCCATGTACTCTGGACCAGCCTCCTCGAAGCAACGAATGTTGTTGCTGAAGGCGAGGAGGAGGACGCAGCCAATGAGAATCTTCCAATGGGTGAGTTAGCTTATGTGTATAGAGGATCGAAAGCACAAGCTAATTTTGCAAGCATGCAAGCTGACTCATGTTTATTTAGAACATGACTGCTTCTGGGATCCTAGCGTAGGAAAGCTGCGCTGTCAGCCAACATGGGGAAAACACCAGGCGCTTCATGTCATACGTGCCCCCGTGCCTTGGGACCTCCGAAGTAGTGGACCCGCTTGACAAGTTCAAGCAATCGTCTCCGAGCCATGACAGGAACACAGAAAAGATCTGCAGTGGAAGTTGTAGATTGTGGAGACATGTAAATGCACGAAGGCCCGCGGCCCGATCACAGCTGTGAGAATTGCAGGATGTTCCTGCTCTTGTTTACAGTCCCGCCACAATCTTGAAGTTTGAATGTAGTAACCATGCAGTACTTCAAGCCCGATCAAGCAATTATAATGCATGCGTGGGCACAAGCAGAGTGAAACAACTGAAGCAATCTCGCACTTTCGCACCCAGAGCCCACGAAGAGCTGCAGGTACACAGGTGAAGCAACAATCATGCAGACGAAATAGCTCCTTTTAGAATGCGTAGCAATAGTCCAACAGTGGAACTCTGCGAAGCACATGGTGGCAATGAAATTTAGCAAGCCAAGCCAAGCGATCAGCCATGTCCCCCACGCAAGCTCCTCACATTCTCCCAGCAAAGGTTTCAAACGCGGCGGGCGCTCGCAGATGGTCTTCAACTAGCCTGGCTCGCCAGGCGCTGCCGTGGGCCATGCGAGCCTGAGCAGCAGAAGTGACAGTGTGGGTCATTTATTGGCTGAATTGCAGAAATGAAGTATTCCTTGCCAGTATTTTGCGAAAGCGGACGGCGCGCTAGATCTTGAAATGTGCAAATGCAAGCCGGCTCCATATGGCAGGCCCTGCAACGTGAGCTAAACGCAGCAAGTGCTGCATGTACCCCTGCAAGCCCTAACCCCGCTGCGGCAGCACAGGCGCAAATCCCTGAAGTTCCTTCAAGGCAGTTAACAATTTGGTGAAAACCTAAGGGGGGTTATACACTGTTTTAACTAGCATGGTTGCATGGTAGCTATTTGATTATATTTAGAGGGGTAAACGGTAGCCTCTTTAATAGCACATAAGAAGGATACCCGGGCTTCAAGGCTCACATCCGCGCATGCGCCAGCAGCAAGGATACTTGACAACACGGCAACACAAGCGCTATATAGCACATCGTTGCTACAGCTCATGTCCAAAACTGTGATCAACCTTCTATAGAGCCAGACTGCTCCCTTGGATTTTCGCTGCACTGACTAGGTATATATAGAAGGACTTCCGGCCTTTCCAGGTTGCTCACTGTAAATGTAGAATCGCTGCAAACTCAGGACTGGGGATTTTCCCGCTTTACCTCGATCGAAGCCACATACTTCAAAGCCGCCTTCCTGGTGAGCTTCACAATGTTCTCCTCAGTTACCTCCTTGCCCTCGAAGCTCTTGATCGCGTGGGTCCAAAACAAGATCTGCGCGGGCAGTGCTGAAGAATGTTTGAGGGAAGGGAAGTAAACGTTGCAAGATGTAAAAAAAGACGACTTGATACCGGCTGTTCATGGAGCCGAATTCAGGAGAAGCAAGCTGGGGAACCACTACTTTTGCAAACGTATAAACAAGTAACTGCCTGAAAGCTTCCGAGGTCCTAGCTGCTTGAGATTGCAACGGAACAGTGGTTTCTTTCGTATAACTTTGCTGCAAAGGGTTCATGTGCACCNNCCCCCCCCCCCCCCCATTTATGGAAAGCCAGATGGAAACATACATAGCACTATCATATCTGTAACCCACACACTTCACACTTCCGCCCCTACTGTGGAGAAGTAGTTAATCAAGTAGTTGGACCCAGCTAGAACGCATTTCAGGAATTATATGGGGGGTAACTATATATAGGGCTAACAGTGTTAATTGAGAGGGCTTTGAATGGGGAAGTGTAGGGTGAAATGACTCCCGGGTACCTGAATAAGAGCATACTGATCAGTTCCATTCTTGAAGCCCTGTCCTCGTGTCTGGACGCCCTCACATGCAAGAACGGCCGCACGTGGTCCCGGAACGCGTCGCGCAAGACCGCCCATTTCATGTGCGGCAACCCATGCGCCGGCTGCTTGCGACCAGCGAAGGTTAGCTTGCCTTCCGACGGCGGGCTCTCTCCCTCCTCAGCATCCGTATGCTGCAGGGAGGCCCCGTGCTTCTTCTTCTTGGGAGGAGGCGTCGCCTCTGCCTCATCATCATCCTGGACAGCCTCGGTGTGGCGGGCCTTCTTCTTGGCAGCCTTGTCCTGAACAGGCTCTTCCAAAACACGGCCATGCGTAGAGGCCTTCGGGGGCTTGGAGGCCTTGACTCGCGCAGCCGGCCTTTTGGCCGGGATGTCATCATCGTACATCTCCTCATTCTCGTCCGGCCACGTGTAGTCCTCCTCTTCCATCTCCTCAGGGCAAGACATCTCACACGGACTGAAAGCTTGCGTGGCATTGCTTCCCTCTGGGCTGGCGGGGCTCACCGTCTCTGAGGGTTTTCCACGACCACGGCCGCGACCTCGCCCGGCACTCTTGTCACGGCCACCTCGACCACCACAGTCTCCACGGCCTCCGCGGCCGCGCTGGCCACCTCGGCCGCCCCGGCCACGGCGACACAATTTAGGCTTGCTTGCCGAAGCCTGCTCCTCGTCCAAGTCCTCATCAGCCTCCTCGACCAATGATTTTGCCTTCTGGGTCGCGGCTGCAGGCCTCTTCTTCACCTTTTTTCCACAAGGCACTTCGTCATCGCCATCCTCATCGTCCATGTCCAAGTTTTTTGGAGCTCCCGCAAGCTGACGGCGCTTGGTCACCTTGCAGGGCTCAACAGACGCTGGCTCTCAAGATTTAAGGGGGGCTCAAAATCTACTGCTCTGCTATTCTAACCTGCGCCGTATACACGTGTAGCTTGACACACTTCCAAATCGATCTAGCTTATATGTAGCTTCCAACTTGAATCTGCCAGAAACCTGGGGTGAGGCTTGCATGAAGTTAGGAATGTTTGAATTGTAAACAGCCCCACCATTTGCACGGGCGGCGGCTCCTCAGACAAGACCTTCGCAGCCTGGGCAGCATAGGCGTCCATGTCCTCTGCGTCCAGTGTTTGCGTTTCATCATTGTCCAGCACAGGGAAGCTTGTTTCCACATAGGCAAACTTGGAGGATCCTGCGCCAAGTGAATATATACATCATAAAAGGTTCTTCCTTGTCAACTGCTTACCATTGAAAAGCTGCACATTTGCGACAAAATCCAAGGTGAATGTAGTCACTGCCCAGGTAAATGCTTTCAGGTGCGGCTATGCATGGACGTATACTCTTACCCTGTGACGCGCGCAAGTACAAGCACACACTCCTGCAGACTTCGAGGAGGAGGAAGCCTTCTCCCGGCTCTGCCGAATCTCCTTTTTCGCTCTCCTGCAAAACGTTTGACTATAAAGCTACGTAGCAAGAAAAACGAATGCAAGTCGTGTGCCCTCTTTCCCTGTCAATTTCTGAGTGCGCTGGAACGAACCACAGCAGATAGCAGGTGGATGCAATTTCATGACTTCAATGGCGCTAATCTGCTACTCAGGGATACGCAGTGGTGTATGAATCTACGGGCCAAAAATCATGAACATGCGGGTGGCTCCTAGCCGCCATCTCCATCTTCAAAGCTGCGATCTTCTTTTTCAGAAGGCGCGGCTCTGCGCAAACGCACTCGCCATCGGGCTTCTCGCATTTGCAACCCTTGAACACGGGCTCCTTGTTGGTGGATCGCGGGGATCTACGGGGCCTTGCAGCTTGAGAATCTTCTGTGGAATCCAAGGATGTTGTTGACAAAAACCTTTGCGAGGGAGGGGGGGTCTCCACGGCCTCAAGTTCAGCAGCCAAGCACTTGGCAGGCGTCTTTAGAGGAGAGTCCTCCACAACCATGGCCGCATCCTTGTCCCTTACGGTGCCCAACTCCACGGCGTCTGCTTCGATGGCCTGACTTGCGGTGCCCAACTCCACGGCGTCTGCTTCAATGGCCTCACTTGCGGTGTCCAACTCCAAGGCCTCTGCTGACTGCGAACCGCGTAGCGGGGAGTCCTCAATGACAACCTGATCGCCCGACCCATCCTCCGCAATGGGGCTGGGGCTGGCCAGCAACTTGTCCAACTCGCTCTCGCTCAGCTCAGAATCAGCTTCGCTAACCTCGACTGAGCCCTCGGCATCCATCTCGTCATCATCCTGATCTGCGTCGTTCACCGCCTCGGCAACAGGTGGACGCCACCGAGGACCAGGTCCGTGACCGTCGTCATGGCCATCACCAGCATCATCCCCATCATCGGGCCCATCCTGGCAGTGTAGTCTGGCAGCATGCTCAAGTAAGTCGCCGCCTAGAATGGTTTAGTTCATGAGTGCGACTTCTCATAAGTGAAAGCACCAACCAACTATAGTTGCGATAAAACATGCATGGGCCCATCGCATTGAAAGCTGCATGAAACTTAATTCAGCGACATTGTACACATGTTTTCCAAGTTCTGATCCACATCCCAAACAGCCTCATTCATGACAAGCCCTCGACCCAGAAATGCTCAGCTTACCTATTGCCATCCAAACCGCTCAGTGAAAAGCTCTATATAGCTGGTCACCATGCAAACTCATTATCCCCTACGTGCAGCGCACAGTCCTCCTGATCAGAGCCGCCCTCGCCCGAGAGGATGGCGAGGAGTGAGCAGAAGGTCTCGTTGCGAGGAGCCTGCCCTCTGGCTAACTTTCTTTTTATTAGCACTGCAAATTTTTTCAAGCACCAGGCATCAAGCTTCAAGGCCTTCCTGTCACTGGGCAATTGGCCAGTGACATACCGATGGAAGGCCACCAACCTTGGGGAACTAATGGGAAACGAGTGGGGGATATGATGGATGGTTAACTAATTAAGGTCATGCTTTGGAAGTATGGACAAAAATGTTCAAGTTTCCAAACACAAGCTGGCAACTCATTCTCAGCTGCAGCAATCGTGAAAAGCTTGACAGCTCCGAACTCATCCCTGGGAGCGCTCGCCATTAAGCGCAAAGCCGGTTGAAGAGCATGAGCATTGAAGCACGCATCCTTGATGTTGATGGTTGGGACTTTCCCCTCCCCCCGTGTCAGGAAGATGGACCCATTATTCCGGATCCTGCGTCGAAGCTCCTTGCTCAAGTCCCACTGGTCAGCCAGACCTTCCAAGGAAACCATCGTGGCAGAAGACCACTAAAAAGCAACAGGGAACGCCCCCTGTCTGATCAAACGCAGCGCTGGGATGCAGAGCTGCTTGGAACATGAGATTCACATGCCGCATACAATCACCGCAATCCGTCTTCACATGTGAAATGCGCATGATCTGCCCTGGTCATGCTTGGGAAATTCAGAGCTCTTCTGTAAAATCATGTCTCTATAGGTGGCATGGTCGATTTCAACGGCTCAATGAAACCTTTCGCTGTTCAGCTGAGGTCCCAACCCACCAAATCAAAGCAGCGACAATCAAGGCACAGGGCTGCAGGGCCCACATCTGTGCCGAAACGTTCTGCATCTACAGATATTGCCCACTTTGTCAATCATGCCATCATGAGACCCCTCCAAAATCCAGCCCTTTTCCCAAATGTCACACTTTCACCCGAAATCCAGGATTTCTAAATGAAATCTAAGATTTTCTGGAAGACCTCCAGAACCGAAGGCCTTTCAGGGCTAAGGTAAAGCTACATGGACCGTTTGGGGAATAGAACGCAAAAACATTCAAGTGGTATCCAATGTGGAACCGGGGTTTCGCTGCGCATGTAAGCATGCTTGGAAGGCTTCACTCCAAAGTGCCAAACCGGTGCGAAGCCAAATTCGCCAATGTACAAACCTACCTAGACCCCCCCAAGTACCCTAAAATAGGGTCTATGTAGCTTCTATTTGGGGATACTTAGGGTCTATAGACGGTACTTGGGGGGTCTAGGTAAATACTTACCAATAGGATGCTCTTTTTTCTCCTGTTTTACCAACTTAGTATAGGGTGCCTCAAATAGACCCCAAGATGATATCGAGAGTTGTTTAGGCTTCCACAGAATGTGCTGTCCTACAGAGAGATCAAAGCTTTCTGGCATACGTAGGAGCGTTGCAACATCCCCCCTTATGAGTGGGGTGCAACAATCTGGTGCCAATCCACAATATAACGATTGGCACAGTATAACGCCACTCTAAGCGTGCGCTTACCAACAATCATGTACAAACGATGGAAATGCAGGTTTGGGGGACATATTTTTTAAGTACTTGGACCTGACTCAGGGTGCCAAGTTTCAGAAAACAAGTGTTGCCATTCTATATACCCCAGCATACTGTAATCAGTGCCAGCGGAACCTCCAAAACAGGACGTTTTGGAACCCCCCAAATTCCTCCATGCAGTACAGGGTAGCAGAACTGCCAAGAACTGCCCAAGCGCCCCTTATGGGGTTTAGGGTTTTGGGTGTAGTTGTTTTGTGCTTTTGGTTTTTGAGGGGCCTAACAGTGGGGTCCTTCTTGGAGAGTGCGTATAACAAAGTTGTAAAAATAGATCCTGTTGCATTTGGGATGAGGATTCCTATTGTTAGGACTGTTTTTTAATGAGGTCTCTGAGATATTTCCCCCTGGACCCTGTTACACAGTGGGGGGTCCTGGTATCCCCCCCAACCCTCAACCCTAAGCCTTCTTTTGGACAGCGCAGGCTCGGTTCGATTCTCCGGTACGTGCTTGGGCGAACCTGTTGGACCTGCACGCCAAGGGCAAGCTGAAGAAGCACCTGGACGTACATATGTGTATATATGTATACATACGGGGTTCAGGCTTTAGGGTTTCAGGTTTGGGGTTTAGGGTTGTGCATATATATATACACATATACAGATATGCATGCACGTATGTGTATATGTGTTTATATGTATGTTTATAGAGAGAGAGAGAGAGAGAGAGAGAGAGAGGAAGAGACAGAGGAAGAGCGATAGAGCTGTATACAGAGATTGTATCAGGATGAAGGGGTCATGTAAGGACATATTCGGGATTTACACAGGGATGATATAGGGACTGTATGGGGTTATGTAGGGACGCATGGGACAAGGGGGGCTATTCCCCCGACAAGGCAGGATCAAATGGGAAAGCAACGGAAGGGTCAAAGGGAAACCAGATTTCTATAGGGACATATAGGACTTAGGGTTTAGGGCTTACTTGCTCGTTTTTTGGGAAGAGAAGGAACACATGGAATCTACCACATCATCTGAAATTGTAAAAGGGGCTACGACAGTTTCTGCATTCCTTCCTGGCATGCAGTAAGAAAAATGCTCTCAGGGAAGGTTGAAGAGGTATTGAAGAGCGGAACGCGGAACGCGGAACGCCCACTATCCCTTGATTAAGGCATATCCTTAAATCACATGAGGCTTCATGGTATCATTGAAGGTACACTCCCTAATTGTCGGATATTGAGGATACTTTCTATTTTATCATAGTTTCATATCAATTGATTTCGTGAAATATGGGGCGCTCTGGGAATACAACGGAAGCTGCAATACGAGCTCTCAAGATGGCTAGCTTCATGGTGTCTACTAGGGATAATGGAAAAGAACATGGAAACTACTACATTGTAATAGGGTTAAATTGGGGTTATATAGGGGTTGTATATGGTTTATCATAGGGTTTTAGGGCTGATTTCAATGTTGTTTACTACCCTTTGCTACCTAAATAATTTTCGACTCCTGGGGACTTGGGTAATGTCGAGTCCCGAGTTGTGTGAAGGCGCTGAATTGCGCAAGGTTTGGGCGAAATTGTTCTGCCTCCTCCGATCGTTTGGGGGGGGGTCTGATTTGTGGGAAGTTGTGCGGCCCTGGATATGTTTTTGGTGGCAAGCCAATGGATTTTTTAAGTTCAAGCCCTATTACCTGAGCTATCCTAAACCGTAAACCCTAAACCCCTAAACCCCTAAACCCTAAACCCTGCCCAGAAACCCTGGTCCTGCTTAATTCAGGGGGGCTAAGAAGGTGGGATAAAGCTAGGTGGGCTAAAGAATCCCTATTGTAGATTCTACACTCCCCCAAACTAACATGGAAACCCATATAGTACCTTGTTAGAAGGACTGTAGTCTTTA